AATGATGCAATTACTAAAGCGAATGGATTAAACAGACAAGACATATTAAAGAAGGCCGCTAGTAGACCTACGTCGAACAATGATGTTTTGATTTTTTGTATCGCCATTTAAAGACATGTTAAGCAGACTTCTCCGTGGCATTTTTTCTTTATTCCTTTTTGTTTTTGAATTTGGATTATTTTCAAACGTAGCGGCGCGATTTTTTTGAAATTGACAGATATAATAGATATTGGTAAGACAAAATGTTTGAAGAAAAAAGAAGAAAATTCACCGTCCTGGTTACGCAAAATATAGAAAAACGTGAAATAATCATAAAAACCTGTAAAAATAGATTGAAGGGGGTGATATTCATTTTAATGTGCCTTTCACTTCTTCAGGGTAACCATAGTTTTGGTAATGGTTTACTAATTTTAAAAGCTTATCTTCCAGCATGTGTATCAAGCGGAAGTAATACAATAAGTGAGTTATCATTAATTGGAATGGTATCATCATATTCCTTAGCAATGATTACAAAAGGGTAAAATCAATCATATCGCATACTAGTTCTTACCATCAAATCGATCTGTTATAATGCATATTAAACAATATAGCAGTAGATCTTCAAATTCAAGAAAAATTGTAAGATAATAGATAAATTGCTAATCTCTCTGTATAATCCCTTTCTCTGAATCATACTAAATTATAATATTTCGGTATGCTTATTTTAGCTGCTGTTTAGGTCACTTGATGAGATATTCAGTAACATGCTGTCACTAGAGACAAAACCGGCTTGACACTAAATAATCACTCGAAATAAACGATATGAATTCTTCATATTTTCTTCTTTTGTAATACATCCATTCTTGAAAATTAGCATTCAAAGCTTTTCAATGCAATCATGAATTTAGTGATCTGACCCTTAAAAAACTTTTCAGGGGGAATAGTTTGTCCACCTGTAGCCCTTACACCCCAGTCACATTTCCTACGTCGACCTTGCGGTCTATCATTTCTGCGGCCAGTAACATTTCTACGCTCACCATGGAATTTCTGCGCTCTCATTATTTTGTAGTCACATTTCAACGGCAGTCGCACGGTGAATTTTAAATTTCTGTTGATAAATAAAACTTTTTTCATTTTATTTACATCTGGACAATTTATAAATGTTATTCGTAGTGCTAGGATGTAATATCAAATGAAAAGTGATCGTGAAACATCGACAAATAATGATTCAATCTTGTTGAGCAAGTTGATTTCTACGGGGACCTCAGAAATGAACAAATATTATAACTCCGAGTTATAATTTCTACGCCTTCCCTGCGGCCTGTAAAAATCTGCATTCGCCGTACGGAGGCCGCAAGGCAAGCGTAGTTTTTCTACGCTCGCCGCAGAAATTCACCGATTTAATTGATCTGCGGTCGACTGCGGCCGCCGTGCGACAAATGTGACTGGGGTGTTAGGTGTAGTATCTTTTTCTAGCCATATTTTCCTAGGCCTGCTGGAATACCTATTTCAGTGTGCAAGTTTAGCATTGTTTTCCCATTGATCATTTGAGTTCTCATGTCAATAAATGGAAATGAAAATGATAGAGTGGTTTATTTTATTGTAAAAATCAAAAATAAAACAAGGTTTGGTCAGGAAGGGAACAGGTGTATCCTTGGGATATATGAATTAATTAATTATAAGTTAGAAACATATTCATGTTTCTACAATTTAGGGTAACCCTGTGTATTATTCTACTGTGCATGGTTATACCCGTGCAAAATATTACAAAATGTTATTTACTTATTATCATAATTCAATGTGACAATATCAGTCTTATCTTTAAATTTGTATATAATAGTTTGCCTGTAAGGTTGGGCAAGCCGTCTATTACCTTCAAGTTGATAGTATAAGATGTTGATTTTGCAAAGCTCTTATGGGCTAATTCTACAATATGTACAGTTACATGTAAGGGTGCAAGTATGTAGTCCAGTATGTAGTAAACAAAGGAGTATTTTGGTCAACTCAATACATCTGATAAA